ACCTCTAGGGGTCAGGGGCAGAGGGCTGCTGTGCTGGCTGTGGGGCAGATGGTAACAGAGTGCCTCTCATGCGAGGCTGTGGTGCTCAGACTTTCCTGGGAGCCGATGGGCAGGTCTTAGCTTGCACGGTCAGAGGTTTCTGTTGGAAGATGTGGAAGTTTGATTGTTTACATTTCGTAAGGTGTTTTTGGCCTCCTTAAGCATGAAACCAAGGAACAGGTGTGGCCTTAAGTAAGAATGTCAGAACCCTTGGCTAAATGGCTTGGAAGCAGGACAGGATGATCTGCAGGCAGGTGAGTGTACCTGCAGCCCCACCCATCAGGGAGCTGGCAGTGAATGGCAGCGGCTGGAATCCTTGGATGGGGAAGCAGGGAGGAAAAGTCAGGGGTGTGGATAGAGAGTAGGGTTTTGTCTTCTCCCAAGCTTGGGTGCATTGAGGGGGGCGAGGGTAGGACAGATCTTCCTTCTGGGAGACTCAGGCTGTGTAGATAGGCAGCCCCATCTGCATCAGAGCTGGGCAGCTGGTAACTTTCTCCTTTGCTGTTTCTGTGGAGGAGGCAGCTGTTCTCTTGCTGTGGCATATAGTACTTTAAAATAGGTTTTGTTTTTTTATTGATTTCAGAGAGAGGAAGGGAGAGGGAGAGAGAGAGATAGAAACATTAATGATGAGAAAGAATCATTGATTGGCTGCCTTCTGCATAACCCCTTACTGGGGATCGAGCCTGCAACCAGGGCATGTGCTCTAACCAGATCAAACCGGGAATCAAACCACAATCTCCTGGCTCTATGGGTTGACGCTCAACCACTGAGCCACACTGGCCAGACTGGCATATATTACTTTAATTACTACAACCCCTCAAAGGAGAACCCAGGCGCATGGACGTATACTTTCCTTGAACTGTTGAAAAAGAAGCAGCAGTAAGAACCACAGCTGGGGGTTAGGAGTGAAGGGCATAGTCCCTGAAGCAGATGCCAACCATGCCTTGGGGTGGGGTTGGGGCAGAAGGACTGTCTCCCTTCTTTCCACAGTATGAGCCTGTTCAAATGAGCATCTTTTCTTCCCCTAGAGCTTTTTTACCAAGCCTGCTCTAAGTGGGCTATTAAGAGCATGACCCTGTGTGAGGGCCCTGCTTCTACCGGGTGGGACACCTTCTGCACACAGCTGATATTTCACATCTGCCTGTGCCACGGGAGAGCAACAGCAGATAGCAGAGATCAGGGCAGAACAGTGGGGGTCTGTGCCAAGGTCACGGGGACCTAGCCTAATCTCTAGGTGGTGTGGCAGGCACTGACAGTAAACAACAGGGTGTTGTTCCATGTCCTTTCTCCCTATCCTTGATGGTACAGCGCATGCAGTGTAAGGTATCTCAATAGCAGGTGGGTTTGTGTAGTAGATGTCTTAGGGATTACTAGCACGTAGGTGGGTTTTCTGTAGTCTGGAAATGCTATTTTTGTCTGCACCCACCAAACAGGTACTGCTTCTGTCCCACTCCATGTAGGCTGATTACCCTTGTTGCTCACAGCTGATGTGCCCCCTCTGTGCCCACCATTAACCACTGCCTCTCTTGGAGCATCTTTCATCCCAGAATCTACAGTGCTTCGCAGAGGTCTTCTCTGCAGTTGCTCAGTCCCAGTCTCCATGAAGGAAGCCATGCTTCTTTCCAGCTGGGTGGGTGAGCTATCAGGGCCCCCATGGACTTCTGTGTGTATCTCCTCCTGACCTCGGCAGAGCACCTGGGAACAGGCCTTGGAATGACAGTAGGTGCTGTATAAGCCTCCCAGGTGAGTGCCAGGTTGGTGGAGGAAAGAAGCCAACTGGTGATGGCCCTGCAGTTCAAGCCTATTGGGGTCTCACGGCGGCCCTGCCTCGAAAGGGAGCAGCCAGGAGATTCTCCAAAGCCACTGGGCAGCTGCCCAGGACGAGGGCTATGGGAAGATAGGTTGGGGTTTGTGTGCCTGGGGCTGCTCAACCCCTTGCTGCCTTTTTTGTTCTGTTCCTCTGTCAGAGACATCCTTGGGAAGAGACCTGGACGGGGTCGACACCCAGAGGCCTTGCATCTCTGGCAACAGGGTCTATCTGCTGGTCAGTCCAGAACAGAGGGTGGGCCCAAGGACTAGGTAACTGGTCAAAGCCCTTGGTGGGTCACATGGTGATTAATGGTGCCGGTGCTGCAGGACCCACCGTGGCCCCTGCTGCAGAACTTGTTTCTTGTAAGAGGCCCTCTGCTCCCCTGCTGCTTCTCCCTGGGCCAGCAGCGCCCTTGGCCCTATGGCCAGCTGAGCCCGTGTTCCTTTC